CAGGAGTTGGAGGTTGCTGTGAGCTGTAATGCCATGGCACTCTACCCAGGGGGACAGCTTGAGGCTCTGTCTCAAAAACAAACAAACAAAAAAAAAAAACAGATGACAGAAATGGAAATATTCTGAGAACAAATGAGAGCTTAGTAATTAAAAACATTAATAGGAAAAATAGAACAAAACTCTTTAAATGGACAGTAAAAAAATGAAATTGAGAAAATCTACCCCCAAATCAGTGTAAACATACAAAGAGAAAACAGAGAAGATAAAGATTAGCCCTAGATGGCCCATCATATAAAAAACAGAAGTTCCAGAAAGAGCAAGGTAGTGGGGAGGGGAGACAATGAAGAAATTCATGAAAACTACCTAGCACTTGAAGGACTGGGGAAAAAAAAAATTAATAAAAGAACATCATCATTAGGAAATTACTAAATGCCTGGAACAAAGATAAGAGCCCCTAAGCTTTCAGAAGAAAAATAAATTTTCAAAAAAGGGCATCAAAGAAAGGATCAAAAATCAGAATAGCACAGAATTTCAATAACAAAATTAGAAGCTAGAAGAAACAACTTTTAGAGATACACATTGAAATATTCAGATAAAAGGATGTGATGATTGGGATGTCCTTCAGAAATAATGAGTTGTAAGGGGAATTGATTGAAATAAAGATGAAACAACAATGGCTACAATTAATAACTTGAAGTTGGGTGATGGGCACACCAGAATTGGTAATACTATTATGTCTACTTTTATACATGCTTGATTTTCTAAAATAAACTTTTAAAACTTACCATCCATTCTGTCTCAACACTCTGCAAAGTAAATCAGAAAGGAGGAAGTTATACATGGAAAAGGAAAGCAGTAAAAGGAATCTCTGATCACTACTATGGATCAAGTAAAGAAGACAGAGTCCAAACTGGAGCAAATCAGAGGCTCTAAGACAGATTTGTTCCAAAAGGTGAGATGACAGAAGATCCCTCCAAACCTTTTGATGAATTTGGACAAATAATGGAAAGTTGCAGTTGAATTAATGGTTGATAAAACCATTAGCAGAAAAATAAGCATATGTAAAAAAAGTCCATTATAAATACAATGGACAATAAAAAGTTAAATGGGGCTCGGCGCCTATGGCTCAACCGGCTAAGGCGCCAGCCACGTACACCTAAGGTGGCGGGTTCGAATCCCCAGCCCGGACCCGCCAAACAACAATGA